CAGATATGCCGGACTATCGGAAGGGGGGGCTATGAGGTATCTGGGGCCAGACCCCTCATAGCCCCCCCTTCCGATAGTCCAGCTCTGCCCCAGGCGTTCCTGATTCAGCTGCTGCTGGTCAGTTTCAGCAGCGGCTGAATTGGGGACGCCTGCAGCAGAGCAGCTGGGGTGCTGCCGGGTTGGTCTCGCCGCGCCAAGGGTCGGTGCTACCGGACCAACCCGGCAGCACCCCAGCTGCTCTGCCCCAGGCATCCCCAAGTCAGCCGCTGCTGAAACTGATCAGCGGCTGACTCCAGGAAGCCCGGGGCAGAGCAGCTCTGCCCAGGGGTTCCTGGAGTCAGCTAATGGTCAGTTTCAACAGCTATCAGCAGCGGCTGAATCGGGGACAGCTGGGGGCAGAGCAGCTCCAATGGTCCGGCTGCCCGGAGCACTTCTGGGTTCCTGATGGTACCAGACCATCAGATGCCAGACCATCAGAGTTTTACTGTAATTGGTTTGTGTCAAAATGCCACTAGAAAACGTAATATTTAACTTTAAAAAAAACTGGCGAGAAATCCATCTGTTAGCTAATCAAAATAAAAAAAATAGATGAAATGCAGACATTTCTTTTTCAGGAATGTACTTCAAGATTTGCAAAGTAAATGTTAACTGAAACAAGTCATCTTAAAGCTAGTGAAGCAATGCTTTAACAAATAGGTATTGTTTATTTAAAACTAATTACTTAATTTTTTTCCATCCTTTGGAGAATGGGAGCTACTTAGCTTTCAGCAGAATTACCAAAAAGTATTCAATGGGCATTTTCCACCATAATGCACTATTTTTTAAAGCTAAATGAGTTGACTTCTTAAAAAGTAAAACTAGTTTCCATGATGCTCTCTGTCTTTTCAATAGTGATTAGTATTATGCAAACACTTTACTGAATTTATTTATATTTTAATTATAAGCCAATTGAATGTACATATTAATGAAAAGGATAACTACTTAATATTTATTTTATGCATAAAAAGCTTCATGTTGAGATTTTCCTGTGTGAAGTGTCCTAAATAATTAAAAAAATGCACTAAGTACTTCACATAACTGAGCTTTTTATGAGTATGTTCCTACAAAATCATCTCTACCACCCACAATTACATGAGTTTTTTACTTGCCCAAAGAGAAAGCACAACCTGTTTTAAACTAACTATTGTCATTTGCTATTTTCATATTGCCAAATATAGTACATTGCCAAGCAATGAAGGCAAATTTGGTTAAGGAAACTAGTTCCAAATTTTTTTTCATAAAAATGGTAAGGAATGTTGCATTATTAAATTAAATACTGTTAACTATGGTGTTTTTTAAAAGATACAAGTTGAAACAACCTGCAGTAAAATAGTTTTAAAGTAATTTCAAGTAGTTCAATTTCCTACCTCTGTATCACAATCACCTTTTCATTTTTTAACTTCTTCCTCTTTTTACTATATGAGAAATCCACACAAATTAGGAGACCTGACTGTATGCCATATTTAAGTCTTATCAACTTTCAAGAGTATTTTTCATCTAACCTTTTAATTACAGTGTAAGTATTGTTATTTGCAGCTTTACTATTTAACTTAAAAATTACCTTTCAGTCAGAAAACTGACCAGGGTCACCATCATCTTGCCAAAATGACCCCCACTGAACTACATGAGAGTTCATCTTGGGTTTTAAAACTGAGTTTTATCCTATTAGATACAGTATGAGGACAAAATACCAAATTCATCTGCAGCTGATTACCTGGGCAACAAAAAGGTCAAATACAACATCTGAGATGTCTTTTTTAGCATGTAATGTGTATTAAAACCAATCCAATCATATCAACAGGAGTTTCAGTTAAAGCTACATTAATTCTTCATTAAACTTCTGTCTAAACTATTTGATCAAAGATCTGATCTGACCTTAAACCATTTACATTCATGACTTCAGGACAAAGTTTGTTTCTTCAGTTCTATTTGTTCCATTGTTCATTTTTACTGGATATATATGAACAAGGAAAAAAATAAATGAATTATATATGTATATAACAATAAAAGTAAGAGTTTAACCTTTCAGAGTCCATTGGCTTCTCAAAAAAGTTAATGTATTCAGAATTATTCCAGAATTTTTATTTATTCAAGTAATTAATGTGCAAAAGCAAAAGGTAGGCTACGGATATATTTCAAAGCTACTTTTAATCGTCTTAAATTCAAGAAGAGAAGAATTCAATGTGACATTTGGAAGTTGTGTGTTCAGTTGGCTGTCTTGAAGTTCTGAATTT